CAGAACGGCCCGTTCTCCAAACCAGAACGGCTCGTTCTGCTTCTCCAATTTTGGGCATTTTTCTTATTCCGGAATGACCCGTTTCACTTTTGAAACGGCCCATTCCGGGCACTCAATTGGGCCTCTGGCCTAGCGATTTTGGGTTGTTACACTGTCTTTTTCTGAAAAGTAGGTGTCCTTTCTCTAATGCACTCAGCTTTGACTTTTGAATGCATGTTTGCCTTTTTTTTTTATTCACGTTGATGTCCTCTTGTGTTTTGTTGTATAATTCCTTTCAATGTGATTAGTGGACTTCAGACGTGCTTCAATATTCTTGACATCATCTGGTTACAAGATACTACGTTTGATCTTGACTACCCTTTTCGTCTGAGTATGGAAGTGATAACTTCGTCTTCTAGTTTATATTGGTTCTTTCTGATGGTCACTTCATGTCTATGTCTTGACAAATTTTGCATCTGATGCCTCAGGCTTTTGCTGATAGACTTTGTATTATAAATTTGTCGGACATATTCCATCGGTAATATAACTTTTTTTACAATTTTTTCCATCAAAAATATAAATTTTTTGATGGATTAATTTGTCATAATTTTAAAAAACAATTTAACATATATTCTTTAATTCTGCATAATTCTTACATATAAAAATTTTATAAATAAAATTTATTATTTTGATAGGGATCAATAATTATTTATAAATGTTGGCAAAAATTCTGTCACAAAATCCGTTACTGACTTAATTATTAGTATTATGACGCATTTTTGTGAGAAAATATTTATAGAGGAACTTAATCTGTCACAAAATCTGTCACGAATTTTATTTTTTATTCAGTGATGGATTTTGTGACGGATTAAATTTTGTCCCTAAAAAATCTGTCACAAAATCTGTCACTAATTTTTTATTCAGTGACGGATTTTGTGACGGATTAAATTTTGTCTCTACAAAATTCGTCACTAATTTTATTTTTCTATTCAGTGATGGATTTTGTGACGGATTAAATTTTGTCTTTAAAAAATCCGTCCCAAAATCCGTCACAAATTTTATTTTTTTATTTAGTGACGAATTTTGTGACGGATTAAATTTTTGTCTCTAAAAATCCGTCACAAAATCCATCACTAATTTTATTTTTTTATTCAATGGCGGATTTTTTAGAGACAAAATTTAATCCGTCACAAAATCCGTCACTAATTTTATTTTTTTATTTAGTGACGGATTTTGTGACAGATTTTTTAGAGACAAAATTTAATCCGTCACAAACTTCAATAAATGATAGTCCGTCACAAAAATTAAAATTCTCTCACAAAATTTGTCACTATTAGTGACGATATTTTTTCCGTCACAAATATTAATTTTTCTAGTTCAATACATGTGTAGTTATGGAAAATAAATGACTTAATGGTTTCAATTTTTGGCAAA